CTCACCTTGACCTTCTTGTCCAGGGAACATTTCAGAAAGACATTCAAGGTGTTGTTAATATTCCTACAACCATAAACTAGCATTCTTGGATCCCTGCAGTGTCTGTTTCTTGGCCTGCCCTACCTTGTAGGGCTGACACTAGTCCTGCCCCCTTGAATTTGACCACAGCACCCATCATCTCAAGCTATATGGAGTGAGCAAAAGACCTCTCCAGTCTGTTAACGTCTCCCTTCAGTCAACCGCATCGTTGGTAATTCTCCGTCTATTTTGAGAGCAACGTCCTTCACGCAACAGAGCGAGGAGCACAAGAGAGGTCTTTGTAGCAATCCACACAGGAGAACAACCCTTAATGGATCTCCTAGGCACCCAGCCAGAGAAGGAACACCCCTTTATGAAGTGTGAAGTTGTTCTGAAGGACTGAAGGGTGGGGGAAAACACTCCAGGCCATCTGAGGAGATCTTCCTTCTCCAAACCATCAGCCGCTCCTCACATTGCATCAGGAGATGCTCGCCATGTGACAGCAACGTTATTTTTTTTTGCTTTCATCACAAAGCTCCACAACCAAGTGTAGTGTGCTGAGAAGAGGAAACGCTTGTTGCGGACATAACTCTTCAGAGAGGGCAGCAACTCACATGGAGAGATACAACTGGCATTCTGCACTTTCATTAGAATCCAATCACAGACAATACTAAGACAAGCGGTCCCAGCAGTCACTTTTACTCAAGCCATTCCATCCAACTGATGTTTTGCATCAGCAGGACTTTTTTACATTCATCCCTTAAATTCATTTTAGCCAGGATTCCGTCACATGTCATCTGAAAATTTGGGAAGCCCCAGCCCAAACACCTTTGGAGACCGAATCGCAAAAGATCTGCATTCGACGTTGCACCAGCTATCGCCTTTCCAAACTAGCGAAAATCTCTTCCAAATGCAGGTTTATTCCAAAGTAAAGTTGAGTTTAAGATGGGCAGCAATATCCATTTCTGTTTCAATCATGTCCTCATTTTTCCAGCTCAGAGTTGATGCTTACGGTTGTTTCCTTTCTGCCCCGGTTCTCAATTTGTTTTTTTAAGCTTGCATCCAACGGATACCTGCTTTATTTTTAAGCCTCCTTTCCCTTGACAAAGATCATTTTGCAAAGCTCCCCTCTCCTGTTCATATTTTGGGGTATCCTTTCAGAATCACAAACATGATTACTTCTTTCGGAACGCCCATCGCTGCATTTCAGTTCCAGCTTAGCGTTGCGTCCAGCTTGGGAACAACTTTGGGGAATGTGAATTGGGAAGGTTTGTGTCTAAACATGACCCACGAACTATGATATAAACGGGAAAGGATGAGGCACAGACAGAGCATGCAATTGAGGATACTAAGATCTCCCCCCACCCTTTTCTTTTCAATGCCTTTTGTTAGCTGGGAGACGGCCTTCTTGATTTCTGCCTACCCCTATCCACCATGACGCCTTAACCCTGGTCTACGTCAGCACCGTGACCTTAGCCGTTGGAATGTCGTGGTTCTCCAGTGCAACCTTTGGCTGAGAAAAAACAACCAGCCCTCGGGCGTTAGAAAATTGCCCACCCACGTGTCTGTGCAAACTCAGACTCCTGCCGTTCTGGAGGATCCCAAAAAGAAAGAAAGGGAAAAAAAGGAGATTTTGCACTGAGTCAGGAAAAGCAGAAAGTAAGTCACCTCCCTGTCTTTGGTTTTCCCTCATCTGCATGTGTGTGTGCCACACATGTGTACACTATGTAAACTCAGCTGATTATATCCACGGCTTAATCATTCCCTTTTCTACCCAGAGTTAATTGCACGTTTGCAAGCCGGCGTTTCCTCCGTGCCAACCTTGAAAACATTCATTTGCCCCTCCACACCCCTCTGAGCCAGATCACACTGACAATCTTACTCTTTGACGGCGAGCCCTTGGCGGACAAGAACCGATGCATTGTGTATGTTTTGTGGCAAGGAAACAACAGCACGCCGATGTCTGCAGAAACAGCCAACGGGGAATTAAAAGTCCCAAGAGGAACCACCTGCTTTTTTTTCATTTGCCAGCTCAAGAGATGTTTATATAGCCTTGTCAAGAAACAAAACTTCAGCCACAGGGGAGATCAGTGTGCTTGTACATCAAGTTACTAGTCCATAAAGCCAGCATAAATACAGGCAGTCCTTGGGTTGAGAACATCCGAGTTACGACAACTCATACTTACGAACGGGCTGCCTCTTACTAAAAATGGCGGACGGCATTCTCCTTCCTGGAGATGACGAACCACTGAAGCCACACAATGTTTTCGTGAACCAATGAAGCTGTGCGTTTTTAATATACAGCCTGTTTTCAGCGGTTCACGAAAACATTGTGCAGCTTCAGTGGTTCGTCGGCTCCAGGAAGAAGAACGCCGTCTGCCATTTTTAGGAACAGGCAGCCCGTCCGTAAGCACGAGTTCCAACTTACATACAAATTCGAGTTAGACAGACTTCGGAATGGATCTCATTCTTAACTCAGACCAAGACAGTGGGTTGCAATAGTTAAGGGGTGGATCCTCAGGCTGGAAACTTCCTGGGGGGCTGTGGGTCTCTCTGTCTGTTCCTCCCTCTCAGCCTGAAAGTCAGAGGAGTCTAGTGGCAAAGGGGCTGGAGTAGCAGAGGAGAGACCCAGAGTCCTGTCCAAACTCTGCCATGGAAGTTCCCCGGGTGATTTGCTCCTTGTGAACCAGAATCAGCCCAAAACAACTGCACTCCTACACATTACTCCTGAGAGGGGCACTGGTTGGTTCAAACGAGGTCTAGGGCAGCAGGAGGCGAGTAGATGACCTCTGCCTTGTTCCTCAAAGTCATTCCAACCAAGGGATCCAAGGTTGGCCTGTGGATTGATGGATATGCTCAACATGTAAGACTAGTTCCTTTGAGTCATGTTGACTCCTGGTGACTACCTGGACAAGTCCTGGCAGTTTTCTTGGCAAGGTTTTTTGGAACTGGTTTGTCCTCACCTCCTTCCCAGGGCTGGGAGAGAGGGACTGGCTCAAGGTCACCCAGCGGGCTTCGTGCCTAAGGTAGGACCAGAACTCACGGTCTCCTGGTTTCTAGCCTGATGCCTTCACCACAACACCAAACTGGCTCTAGTTTGCCTTAGGATCTTCATAACAACAACAACACACACACACAAAGTAACAATACAATGGAGATCTTAATATTAAATAATTAGTTAAAGAACAAAACTATTCTTATGTAACTAATACTTTGATGTGAATTGCAGTGGTTCTTTTTTATGTTATCCTTAACTTTGGATGAAAAGTCAAATAATCTTATGATTGTAATATTGACATCCTACATTGCAATTAATGCTGGTAGAATTTTTACTTTTCTTTTTTTTTATCTTCAATATTTAAAGCTTTCTAAAGAATAGAATGTTCCTAATTTTTAATTGTATTACATAAATGAGGAGTTCTTGGTGCTCTCTGAGCTTGGTCGTTTGCTTACAGATGTTTCATTACCCGACTAGTGCTACTGAATGTGAGGTTTGCTCCCTGTTTATATACAGTAGCCTGCCCTGCCAGTGTTGGTGGGAATGTGGTTTTCTCCTTGGTAGTTCCTTGATTAGGGTATTGTTTTCTGCTTGCTCGTTTGTCTGGGGTTAATCCCTGCTTATCTGGATGTTGGTTGCTGAAGAGGATGTGTTCTGGTCTTTTTATTTCCTTCTTAGCATTTTTATTGCCTTTTTCGAATGGTGTTTAAATATGGTTTATTTCTATGTGTCCATTAATGGATGATTTGTCTCAATGCCACATTTCTAGGAATTCCCAAATGTTTCTGGATTTAGCTTGGTCTAAGATGTTTACAGTTTCCCAGTCGAAACTATGGTTGAGTCTGTCCATGTGTTGTGAGATTATAGAGTTTTCATTGTGTCTTCTGACTGCTCCTTGGTGCTCATGGATGAGCCCTGCTGGTCTTCTGCCTAATCTTATGCTAGTCTTCTGCCATATTACATAAATATCACTGCATTGAAATAATACAATGTACTGAGATTTATTTACAATAAAAGAAGGAGAAAAAATCCCAACAATAACATTTGAAGAAATAGGTATATACCTCTCTGATTCCCCTGATTGATTTTAGCAGAAATTCTCAACCAGAACCAAATCAACACAAAGCCGAACAGCTGGAAAGCAAACAGCAACTTCTAGCATCCTCTATTAATTAGGATGTTTTTAGTGCCATGGATTTCCTTAGAGAATAAATATGGTGGCTAATAACCACAGAATGTTTCGCCAAGGAATATGCCCCATTGATATCAACTATTTGGTGAGAGCACCAAGCGCGCTTCCAAGATTCAAAATATGTCAATCAAGATCACCTGTCTCTCCCCTACTGCTTCATGTGTGCACACATGCACGCTCAAGATCCCTTCGACATGTCAAGGTTGCCGCACCAGGTTTGGTTGTTTTGAGATGTGGTCCACCAACTCCCCATTAACAAGAGAGAGGCACAAGAATATTCTCTATAAGGCAACTGCTGGGTTTGCAAACTGCCGTACGCATGTCAGTAAAGTCATAGCCATTAACTGCATTCTTATCACGTTTAATGTTTTGTGCTAACCCTGTTCTGCTAATTTACGGTCCCACGCATTGTGCAAATCCAGAATCCAAGTTAAATATATTGGAAAAATCCAGTCCTTAGAGTCCTATGTTAATGTTTTCTCTGATTCAGGGCACCCAAAGGGGCTCTTTCTCCAACTTGTCTCTGCTTCTGAGCAAAGAAAACATTGTAAGTACTACATAATCTTCCAAGGGCATGAAAACTGAACGTCTCTTCTCATTGGGCAAAACACTGTTATCGTGTTGATAAGTGATGGTTAGATTCCCAGAGTTGCTGGGGATTGGGCAGCATTTAAATTTAATAAATTATTATTACGATTTAAAGTTTTCGTTAGCTGCCCTGGGCTTCTGCTACATTCAGTTAAAATGCAATCCATTGCAAAGAAATTGGAAAGCTTAAAGAAACTTGGTTACCGATTTTCTTTCTTGCTTGAGCTCTTGTACGTAACGGGCTAACTCGGTGGTGATTTGGGAAGTCATGTTCTCTGAAATGACCTCGTGTTGTCCGGCGTAGTCGTTCATTTCGTTCAAAGTTGCTAAGAAAGCACGGCATGATGAATACCTACGAGGGACAAAAAACTTGAGAAGCAAATCTTTTTTTTTTTTAAAGCACATTATTTTTAGATACGTTGGACTAATTCCATCATTCCTAGACAGCATGTAAAAAGGCTGCCTCTTAAATGCAAGGATGGATTAAACAGTCATTTAATTTGACCATGAATGAAAACATTGGTCCTGACTTGGCCCTTCCAGAAGTGGAGTTTTTGAGGCTCTCTGAGTTTGGTTGTTTA